ATCAGCCACATGGAGTATTATGAACAATGATGAGTTTTGAAAAGTGTAGAAATGTTGCGTTTTAGTGGTGATCGTGGAGGTTGGGGAAATTGTGAAGCGTGTTTGTGAAATCGGTGAGGTCCAGTAATTTTGCGGTGATGATTTTCACGACCGCATCTAATCAGTCTATGTTGGCACATATACTCACTAGGAATTGATCATCGCTTCACTTACTCGTATTCCACAAATCTAGATGTTGGCGAACAGTGGAATGGACGTTCCATTCAACATGAGACTTGTAAGTTAGTTGAGTTCGTGTGCATTGTTGATGCACTCAACGACCAACTTGTAGTCAATGTAATGAATGATTGTTTGGTATGTTGATCACCATGTGAATGTGTAATTTCCGTTACATTTTACAGGATTCTGTTCGTTTACTGATACTCACAGCAATGTCGAATGAACAAACAATTCATTGTACACATTTGACATTTCACATTGCATGTATTGTTTCATTTTTCAGAACAATTCTCAGAATCAATGTAGGCGAAATTCAACATCAAAGGGTTTGAGAGAATCTGTTCTACGAAACACGACTGAGAACAATGTAAGTAGTTTTCAATTTGACACTTTGTTTGCAATACTTCATAGTTTCACGTTGCCAATTTACACACTCGATGAGACATTTATTGCCACGTGTATTTATTGACGTCCATTTAATTAGAATCGAATAAATGAAAACGTTTTATTTTTTATGATTATTCAATCAAACACGAGTGTAGTCTCATTCATGGAAACACTGAACAACACTGAATAATTGAATTGATGTTCCGTTCAATATGGGTTTTGTAAGGTAGTTGAATTCTTATGCATTGTTGATGCACTCAACGATCAACTTGTATTCAATATAATGAATGATTGTTTGGTATGGTGATCATCATATGAATGTGTAATCTCTGTGATATTTTACCGAGCTCTGACAGTTCACATGCATTCACAGGGTTTTAGTGTTTCTATTTTATTCCTTAACAACAATACACTTTTCACACTGATTGCTTTTTTCTCATTTCAGATTTCTTTTTCAATTCCGCCCAATTTTTCTGAAGGAAAACAAATTTCCAATTCGTATACATACTTGTTTTTTGTGATACCACTTTTAATTCTGTTCATTATATTCAGTATTTATTTTGTTAGATTAATTCTAATCCGGTTACGATTATTAAAGGTACGTATTTAACATACGATTTCATTTTTATTACTGTTTGAGCATTTATGTTAACTTTAAGTTACAGTTATTATGATTTCTAAACAACACTCAATATTTACAAAAATATGAAGATCATATGTGAACAAACAACAGTTGATGCCAATTGTGACAGTCCTCATATATTCCGTAGCGCTTATTTGCACAGTAGAATAATATTATCTATTCTTATGTTGGAATTAGACAACTGAACTTTGTAAGTTTTACATGTAATTACAAATGACTGCTAAATGAATCAGTTGCATTTGTTTGCCTACTGAAGCGGGTGTAATCAGTAATGCTAGCCTAAATATTGTGTCTATATAGTTACGTAGTTAGACCATTTGATTTTTAGAATATTTATGTGTTGTCAACAGCTTTGTGAGAGAAATATTGACCAAGAGTAGTAGAAAATATAACAGTAAATCAGTACAATTTTCCGTTGTATTTTTTTTATACAAGCACAATTTAATTAAATTCAATCATTGGAACGTATTAGTATTAGTGAAAACTTTGATCATAATGACCTTTTTCTGTTATGAGAAGACAAAAATTCAGATTATTGTGAAGGAATTTTGGCACAAAGGATTTGCGGTTCAAAATCTTTCATTTTCTCTGTTATTGGATTACCTGGCCAAAAAACACTCTTAGAATATTTATTTAATAGTAACTATCCAAATTAAACTTTAGATCTTCACATTGTTTGCTATTTATCAATGACCACAACTACAAGATGAATAATAATAAGATTTTCAATAGTTGAAATCATGAATCAATCGAAGCTAAACCAACATGGAAAACATGGAGGCACTGGATGGCCGTTTTGTCCCAGTGTGCGACTTCTCAGCAGTGCGCATCCACGATCATACCCCCTGCGAGATTCAAACCCCAGGACTTATCAGTCTCGCGCGCGAGCGCTTAAACATTAGACCACTGAACCGGCATCCAACGGTGTTAATCTCAAACTTCAACAGATCCACGGAATTGCGCATCGCCGAGGAGTCCCATACTGGGACGAAACAGCCGTCCAGTGCTTCCAGGTTTTCCATGGTTGTCTAGCTTCAATTGATTCATGATTTCAACTATTGAAATTACTAAACTCCCCACAAAACCCCTTCTGATAATAATAATAATAATAATAATAATAATAATAATAGTTGTCTTTATTTTAGTGTAACTGTGTTTCCTTGTTTGCTTTTTAGGTAACATATGATTTAGATGCTTAAAGTAACAAAATGTATGGTACTACATTTAAAATTACAATTGAAATTAAATAAGTTTTCTCTCACAACGAAATGCTCATAGTCAATACAAAATATGAGTATTCGAATACTCAGTATGTAAATTCAACATTCATAATTTCCAATATATTCCATATTAGTTTTCTTTTTAACTCAATATTGAACAGAAATGTAACAGCTAATTTTCAATAATTATCATTTCGTCTGAATTCCTTCCCATTTTTTTTTACTACATTTTCAATAAAACTTCCGAATAAACAATTGTATTTTATGTCTCATATTGATCGGTGACAATGTAGTTGTTTATTCTTATATTTTATAATAAGATTTATATTCTCTTGTTTGTTCTACATTTTTTTGGCTTTTTGAAAGAAACAATATGTTATGCTCCCTTAGTGTCTATTATTTGCTTTAGTAATTATCTACAAACAAATGAATGATGGTTAGAATATCTGAAACAATGTTTTTAATATTAAAAAAATAACATAACTTATTTAGATTCACTTGGTGTTGTTTTAATAGTATCTTTCCGTTGTTGTTGTATTTAAAACTGCAATTGATCAGTCTCATGTCGGTATATATGTGTATTCTGAGCAGATTGACTCTATATAGCCTTAAGTCACAAACGTTTTAAGCAAAGATAGATAGTGGCTAACAATGGAATCCAGGACGCATGTTTCGTCCCATTTGGAACTCGTCAGTTGGATGTACCTGCATCGCAGAGTGATGCTCACTCCGGGACTCGAAGCCAGTATTATTCGCTTCAAACGCCATCACGATAGTCACTTAGCTACTGATTTCTGATGGCCACCTGATTGTGCAATGGGGTGAAGTTTAAATTCAATTGGTATTGTTTTACTTGTATCTTCCGATCGTTATTTAGGACTGCAATTGATCAGTCTCATGTTGGCATATGTGCATCCTGTTCAGATGGCCTCGATATAGCCTTAAGTCATAAGCATTTTAAGCAAAGACGGAAAGTGGCTAGCAGTGGAATCCAGAACGCGCATCCTAAATAAACAATACTGTCACTAAGTATGATTGTCTGACAAATGATCACAATGTTGAGTTTTGCTTGGAACTATTGTTTCTAGGTCACTGGCTACCATACAGGCTCACGCTGATTTAAACACGTAAATCTAAGTAAGATAGGTTCGTTACAAAATTGCAATATCTGACAATCATATTGACTAAAAAATATAATCTGAAGAATATATAGTAAATGTTTGGATGGTGCTGGAAGTTAAAACGAATTGTAAATTCATTGAATAGTTATAGTTTTAGAAAATCAAAATGCTTTGGATTATACATGTTTTAATATTTCTCAGAAGATATCTTGATCTTTTGGTTTCAAAAAGATAGAGCTAGTGGCCTTTTCCACTGACTGATCAAACCCTTTAAGAACACGAGTTTTTTGTAAGTCTGTCATATATATATCGAAATCACCTGTCTTGATAAGCTGTCAAAGTATGCAGAGACTATCAGTACAAAGATTATTATAGTTTTTCATAACAAAAACCGACCTACGTTATACACACATAGACACCTAAAATCACTTGATTTGTTTCGTCCCGTATGGAAGGTCTCATCAGTGAGGTTCCCAAATCCCGACACATATGATCAGATACAGCACCTTACGTCTAGTGCACTGCTGTCTAGCCCTTAGATCACTGAGGTGAAATCAAACAGTGTATATGTCTAACTTCAACCTTATAGCGTCACCAACTTTGATCGTATTTAATGAGTAACTGTCTAATACACGCAACTGTTCAACTCAACTGGCAATGACTTTAGTGTTATCTGGTTCCAAATGATTATCTAACTTGGATCGGTTCACGAAAAAAATTAGATGGGAAAACGATTCACCCATATAATCTGTCAGCCAAATTCGTACAGTACATCGTTGAATAGCCCTACCAACAACTTCAGCACTCAGTTATACTCAGTATACATGAAACTAAGATACTTCTAATTACACAATCGAAATAGTCAAGGTTAATTGATAGCATGTAATTTCAATAGACGTTGTCATCCGACATAATGTGTGAAGAGAAACAACATTATTACAGAAATGTTTCAGTAGTACTCGTTGAAAGAAACAGAACAAAACCACCGCCACATGTACTGTAACGAATTTCCAATGTGACATACGAGTAAGAATGAAATATCCTTGTTTAGGAAGCCTCTATGTGGTAGTTACACTAAGATACGGCAAGCACGATCAGTCCAGCAGGGGACTCAGCTAACGAACAGTTAAAAGCTACCATGAAACTTGATGTCCACCCTGTTGCTATAAAACTTCACGTCAAAACCCCGACTCAAAAACCCATCAATGCACCTGTCCATGGTAAGCAATTGATCGACGACCATTGGTTGTATTTGATCTTGACTAGGAACGGCAATTTGTGAGATATTCGGTGAACTGTTTGCTAAATGGTCTTTTTGGGATTCAGAGGCGTTTCATCAGCCCCTCACAACAAACCAGGCACATGTATGCATCAGTTCAAGTTGCCATAACTCATCAGCACAACACGATGAACACCAAATAACTAGTAGTTGCTTCAATAGTAGTAATATGTAAAGATTTCATATAAGGATATAAACTTGTGATTTAAGTGACCACCATCTTAGGACAGGCACCCACGCATAGCCAGTACAAAACAATTTTCCGACAGCTGTTAAATTAGCTGGACAATGGCACGTATATGGCCCAAGTGCTTTAACCAAATGCTGTGAACGACACTGAACTGTTTACCAATACAAATCGACTTACACTACCATGTAGCAAAACCTTTTGATACCCACAGGAGCAGATTTAAGCCTCAACTCTTATGATAATCACTTCGAAACCCTTCTAAAGGATGTGAAAGCTGTCTAAGAATGGTTGGCTTACAAATGAGCTAGATGTATTAAGTTTACAGCAGTTCGGAGGATCCAGTAATGTCCAAACGTGACAGGAGGCAAACGATAATCACCCAGTGCGATTGTGTGTTACTATTCAAACAGCTGAATATATCCAATTCGATAGCAACCGCAGTTATTACACCAACAATATTGTCACACATATTATGTGCCAATGCAGTCTATGATAATAGGTGTGTAATAAACCAACATACTTCTGACTGCATTGAAGTAATCCCTTGCACAAGTTTTGTCCAACTACCGTAAAAGTTATGAACGTCGAGCCCGTGGCCCAGCCATGACAAAATACCAGACTGGTACCAACGCGTCGGCTCATTTGACACCGAACACTCAAATACCCTTTCCTAAATATGGCAGTCCGCGTCTGGAAGGAATGAGGCTTAAACTGAGGGAAGAAAATTCATAAAACGAGCGTTATGAGGACGACACACACCATCCACAAAACACAGGTCTTCCACATTATCTTTGATCCATACTACAAACTGGAGCTCTTACAAAGAGTAACTACTGCTCGCTATACAACTCATAAGTTACAGCTAAATCCGACAGATTGCAAATCAGTCTAGTATTGGGTTGAGTCCAATCCAATAAATGCAGACTAATAAACACTTACTTCACCGTCTTTATAAAACTTATTTTATGGCATACATTTGTTTCGGGATAATATATTTCTCAATCCCTATTTTCACGTTCATTGAGACGTTACACTCACTTCGATTCTTCTTCCTCCACTTTGCATCACAAGTTAGACAGACTTGGGGAATGTTACTGAACGAAGTATTTGGCACTGAAACAAAGGACTTTATCGACGTGTATTCCTCTGGAAATACAAATAACCAGCTGCCCCATACTCAGTTTACTTCAATAAACCTTACCTGACTATTGAAATAAATTGCTGTACACCAGTTATCCCTCAAGAAAAAACATGACATGCTAGGAATAAGACTAATCCATAAATCCGGACCAAACAAGACACCCACACAGCAAAGCACCTGATTGCCAAAGATATTTACATATCATACTAAAGACATTGCATCTAAAAGTTGGATCAGTCCATCTTTGTGAAAGCAACATATTACTAGATGTTAATGGTACACTCTGTTCAGACCTTAAGTCTTGTGAGTATCTGAGTGTATATAACCCAGAACTATGAGTACGGCAATAAGATGCGAATACAGATTGTACACATTATATAACTTCTACCGCTACAGCTTATTAAGCTAAGCAAGCACCTGCCAGTGTAACATTGCAACTTAACTATACACGGAGCGTCAGACACCACGTGGTGATCGGCGAAATTACTTGAGTAAGACAGACCTTCATATATAGAATTTTCCTTAGCGCTCGTGTCCCAACCAAGACAATCAGAACAATGGAAAATATGTGGAAATAAAATTATTCTGATAATATATATAAACTTATGTACAATAATCTGATATTATTTACGAAATACAACCGTCACTGAAGAATTTAATGCCACATTGTAGGAACTCACATCCAGATGAACGATGAAGTAGCAGCATCGATTCATGTTGACTGTGAACACATAAGACTCCAAACCATCTTCGCATCGATTTTTTCTATCGGCTCCAAATTGGATTCTGGTAGAGTAAATTCTTTACAAATAAAATCTTTACATAAAGCAGTAGAGGAAAACCCGATTAATTTTGATATAAACGAAAGACTTATTGTAGGACGGAAACTAAAAGTGGGGATATTTCGTAGGAAATGGGTTTGAAAGATCAGAAAAAAAGATCATAATTGAAATAAGCAATTAACATTAGCAAGTGTAGTGGAAGAATCCATATTGAAAACAAACGAATACGTTGAGGGCATCAAGCGAAATTCACGTAAACGATATTTGCAGATAGTAGTAAATAGAAAAAAATTCAGAATTATCAGTATGCAAAATTAAAACATAAACATGAACTGAATACGTAAAAAGATTACAAAGCCGTATACCTTAAAGATTTATGATTTTGAAGGAAGCACAAAAATCTGTTAAGAAAAAATTTAATTACAAAAATTAAGTGCATATACGTATACTTAAGTAGAAAGCATCGAATCAAAATTAACAAGAAAGACTTCTCCGATAGCAAATGAAGTACAAGAAGAGAGAAAGCGGAACGTGTCCATGAAATTAATTTTTCATTAAAAAGTAAACTACCACAACTTACAAACATACTAGGACGGATAAATATGATATAGGCACAAAAAATATACTAAAACACATAACGTTAAACATTAATCTGACTAATATTAAGTAATCGTCAACATTTGAGGGCACAAAAGTTAGATTAGATGTCAAAGGCTAACTGAGTATACATATTGATGATTACTGCAAAGGAAAAAAATAAGCCTATCGTTCTAATAGACACAAAGAACTTAAATATTAATGAGCTTACGCTTTCAACGCATCTGTCAGTTAGTGAGCTACAACACATCCGACTTTTAAAATTAATGAAGTGGCATGATCTAGTGGTGAAAGAAAATTCGTAAAATTCCAAATATTTGTTGCATAAAATGTCGTAATAG